TATACTAAGTAGGTGGTGGCTAGACCAGTGTGTTAGGATAATTTATTGAGCTACCTGTTATGGGCACTCTTCTGTATATACCTTATGCTTTGATAAATGCTGCACTTAAATTTAAACCAATCTAAACGTTTACCAGTAGGGGACTATTTCATTATAATAGTCATGTAATGTATAATGCACCATTAAAAACGAGGCAGCTGTCATCCTACATGTTTATTAGGCCCTGATGTTCAAATCGTGCCCTAAAATGACAAACCTTATAGTGAAATAAAAAAAATAAAGATATGACAAAATCTATGTTAGAAATGAATCTGAAGCCAAGCACAGTGACTCATGCTGTAATTGGAACACTCTTGGAGGTTATGGCAAGATAGTGTGAGGTCAGGAGTTCAAGACCAACCTGATCAAATACTAAAAATAAAGAAATGGGGCTCAGTGCCTGTAGCTCAGCGGTTATGGCATCAGCCACATGCACCACGCCTGGTGGGTTCAAACCTGGCCTGAGTCTGCTAACCGAACAAACAACAACAAAAAATAGCCAGGCGTTGTGGTGGGTGCCTGTAGTCCCAGCAACAAGGGAGGCTGAGGCAAGAGAATTGCTTGAGCCTAAGAGTTTGTGGTTGCTGTGAGCTGTGATGCTATGGTACTCTACTGAGGGTGACATAGTAAGATTCTGTCTCAAAAAAAAAAAAAGAAAAAGAAATGGATCTGGTATGATACCACTTTTGTGTGTATATATATATTAAACATATATAGTTCAAGCAGCTAAGGCACGAGCCACATACACCAGAACTGGCAGGTTCAAACCTGGCTCAGGCCTGCCAAACAACAATGACAACTACAACCAAAAAACAGCTGGGCATAGTGGCAGGCACCTGTAGTCCCAGCTACTTGGGAGGCTGAAGCAAGAGAATCCAGGAGTTGGAGGTTGCTGTGAGCTATGACGCGACAGCACTCTATCCAGGGCCATGGCTTAAGGCTCTGTCTCCAAAAAAAAAATAAAATAAAATAAGTATATGTAATAATTTTATACAATATATTTCATATCAGCTACATACAATACTATATACATATATATGCAAAGAATGTCTCTACTCTTCTGAAAGAATATCTAAGAACCTAGTCAGTGCCGCAGGGAGAAGAGGAACAGGACTTTTTCTTTTTAACTTTTGAATTCTGTACCACATGCATTTGTTACTATTCAAATTAATAAAAAGATTGTTCATTTTTGGAAATACTTGTTTATTGCATGGTTCCCTCCAGATTTTATTTCTAGGCTCAGTATTATTGTAAAGCACTTTGGCAAAGAGGAAGAGGCATTCAGATGTGGCTGGGGACCAATGGCCATGTTGATTGCACAAGGATTTCTTTTTCTTTTCTTTTTTTGAGACAGAGCCTCAAGCTGTCCCCCGGGTAGAGTGCC